TTGAGTACAAATGCCAATGTTATGCCCACAGTCATGAAAGTTGTCTATCAAACAGTGAAGTTGGGGAATCGTGAGTCAGTGACTAAGTGGGCAATAGATAACAAAGTGAGTGAATGAATGAGTAAGTGGGTAAATGAGCATGCAAGTGAATATCTTCCTCATTTATTGTAATGAATCCACTCCTTAGAGTCCCCAGTACAGGATCAGGTGGTCCTGATCAGGGGGTGTCCTATTCCAACTTGCATTGGAGTGTCCTGTGAAGAGACACTCATTACCTTTTTCTTTTTCCATTGTCTTAACACCTTTAAGTATTTTGAGTGATGACATAGAGATATGCAAATATATACAAAATAACTACATAGTTCTCAACTCATTACCTTTTGACATAGGTGTTCCACTCTTTGAACAATAGGACTGTACAATAGGACTTTGTTGTATTAAGTCCTGCTGACCACTTTGCCTCAGCAGATCCACAGACACATTAGTCTCCTACCTGGAGTCAGACCCAACCCCCCTCTTTCAGTTTGTTCTTCTCTGGCCTCATCATCCCAGATGCGTAGCAACTCTGCTACTGGGTTCTGTTTGAAGAGCTTACATTATAGGGCAGCAGGACAAAGAACAAATACACAGGTAATAAATTTAAAAAGTACACAAGCTATGAAGGGAAAATCAGGGTGAGGATATGTTGGGGAGGGGGTAAAGGAGCAAGGGAAACTTGTTTAAGGAGTTTGCATTTGAGCTGAGTCCTGAAGGATGTGAAGGAGCCAAAGAACTCATGGAAGGGCATTCTAGACAGAGGAAAGAGCAAGTGCAAAGGCCCTGAGGTCAGAAAGCAACTGGTATGAACATAGGCATGAACTTTTCACACTAGTGTTTTCACATTCTTTGGGTAAATACCTAACTGTGGTATTGCTGGATCATCTGGTATTTCCATCTTTTAGAAAGATCTCCATAACGTTTTGCATGCAAGCCACATCAAATTACATTAGTATCAACAGTGGATGAGTGATCCTTTCCCCCCACATTCTTGCCAAACAGGATATTGGCACTGGTGTTTTGGAGAAGGGTGGGTGAAACATGTGCATATGTGGAGGTATGAAGTTGTACTTCCAAAATTATGCCTCTGTAAATGACTGGCGAATCTATAAAATCTGAGAGAGAGAGAGAGAAAAAAAAAAAGTAAAGCCAGCAGGTTGCCAGGAGGCGAGCAGACACTGGGGGTGAGGAACCTGGTATTGTTTCCAAAATTCCATCTTCAAGCCCTGTGAACCAAGGGTGATACAAGAGGACTTAGGTCGAGTGAGTGGGTGCTCACTCGATGGACTGACATTAACAGGACCCAGCTAATTCCAATAGTCGGGCACTTCCAAAGCAATAATGATGTGCCCTCAAGGGACAGAATCTCCTTCTGGGTTTCAATCTTACTGTGCCTCACCCCTGCTGTGTGTCTGTGGTCAGGGGGCTTCATCTCTCTGAGCCTCAGTTTTCTCATCTGTGAAGTAGGGATAATACCCTTGTGTGGTTATGAGGACTAAATGATTTGCTATCTGGAAAGCAATTAAACAATCACAACAATCTCTTCTTGTGAACTTAAAAAAATTAAAAAGGGAGTGAGGACATGGGGAGCAAAACCCTCCTTTTCAGTCTCTGCTGTACTGCGAAATTTAATTTAAATAAAGTCTTCATGAAGCTTGCTTGGTAGGGTCTGGCACACAATAGCTGCTGTCCCAGGAGGTGAACTTACCCAGGTCCCCAGTGCCTGTGACAAAATCAAGGTGACTCCCTGCACAGGCACAAAATGATAACAATGACAGCGGCAGCAACAGTGACAACAGTAATAGTAACGCCGCCACCACCAATGGCGTTTCCCCCACCCCAGCCGGAGCACCAAGGGTTAGAGCTCAAAGCTGTCAGGTGGACACACCTGCCAACTGGCCGCAGTCCCTGCGGGCCGGCTTGGTGACCAGCACGACCTTCCCTGGGGACCGGCCTCAGCCCCGCCGCCTGGGGGGCCAAGCAGGGGCCCTAGGCAGTAGGGGGAGCCCCGCCTCCCCCTCCCCGCCCGGAGCCGAGCACCGCTCTCTGGAGCTGCGGGGCCGGGAAGCCTGGAAGACATTACACGGCTGTCGGCCGGGGGCGTCGCTCCGAGTTCCGGAGGGGGTCCCGGCGCGGGGCGAGGGGATCGCCCCACCACAAAGCGCGCTTTGTTCTGCGCTCCCCCCGGGAGCTGGAACCAATGGATTGGCGGCAGCTGAGGTCATCTGTCAGGCAGCGCCGGGGGTCAGGCCCGGGGAAGGGGCCGCGAGGGAGGGTGCGGCGGATGGGCAGGCAGATCCGTGGGGGGAGGCGATTAAGAGGCCGAGCAGGCTGGGGCGGCCGCTGCTTCCCTTTGGGTCTCAGTTTACTCATCTGTCTGAGAGGGAAGATAGTTTCTGCCCTCTCCACCTCTAGAGATTTCTGTTTTCCAGTAAGAAAGTGACAACAACCCTGATGATGATGATGATGATGATGATGATGATGATGATGATGCAGCAACGATGATGTTGATGATGAGGATGAGGATAAAAACTTTCTGTAAGGACCCCTCCCTAACTTCCTGCACTGTGAAAGTGGAACCCTAAAGTCGGGGTGGGAACATGGGAGCAAATATGGTACAATACACAGTGGGCATGGATGGGAGACAGGGATGGAGAGCTTTGCACCCATCTGGTTTAGGAGTCAGGACCTCTCCTAGATCCTGCTTGGACCATGGTTGTCAGACGTGACCTACCTTTTGCCAGGGCTGGAGAGTGGAGCCACCCAGCCCTAAGTCCAGGGCCTCCTTGGAGCCCACCCTCCATGCCCCCTTTGCCAGGGTTAAACAGGGCTGCACCCCACACCCACACCACAAAGTGCATTTCTGATTTGAGGCGGAGCAGGATCTAACACTCCCTCTACAGATTTAAGACCAGCCCCTGTTTATCCCTTCCAGCACTGCTTCATCTATGTGCCTTAGTTTTCCCATCCATACAATGAAACAGATGCGACCTTCAGTCCCAGGGGCAAGACTATCAAGTACAGGGACTCCTCAGATTGCCCCTACAATGTGTGTTTCTGGAGAAAGTTCTCATGATTTTATTCAGATCCTCAACCATGACCATGACCCAGAAAGGCTCAAAGCAAGGGCTGGTGTGCAGGGAAGAAAGCAGCCTAGTTGGCCTCTAATATGATCCTGTTAATATTAATTCAGTCATCTCTTGCTATCCTTGTGGGAATAGTTCCAGGACCCCCAAGAATACCAAACTCCACAATACTCAGGACCTTATAAAAAATGGCTTAGTATTTCATATGACCGACACAGCTCCTCCCATATCCTTTGAATCACCTCTACATTATCATGCCATCTAATACAATGCAAATACTATGTAAACCCATGTTACACTATTGTTTAGAGAATAATGATGAGGGAAAAAAGGCTGTACTTGCTCAGTACAGACCCTCACAGAGGCCAGATTGGCTGAACCTGTGAATGCAGCATTTTTGTATACAAAAATCTGACTATGATTAGCATTTTAATATCTGTAACTTGTGAAAAACTAAAAATAATTAAAAATCTACCGCAGTGAAGGGGAGTCCGTGCCAGAAAGGATTCAAGTGTCCCTACTGGGTCTTTCTTTCACTGGGCCCAGGTTTCCTGGGGCAGTGGACACAGTTGGACCAGGGGCACCCAGAAGAGACCTGTGGTTCAGCCTGGAGGGTCTAGAAACTTGGTGGAGGAAGGGCCACCTTCTGTGAACTTGAGACCTGCTGGTATTGCATCTCCTTACTGGATACCAGGAGACAGGCCTAGAGAGGCCATGATGTGTGTAAGGCCACAGGGCCAGATTAGTCAGGATCCGTAGATCTTGAAATTCCAGACTCCCATTCAGTTCTCCCCATCCCAGAACCCCTGGTTCAGGTCTCCTCACAGCCAGGTTGGCCCCTCTATCCCGGATCAAGGCAGTTCTACACCTGGAGGAGCACCCAACTCCAGCAGGTCAGGAAGCAGCGCCACCTGCTGGTGTTAGAGGGAGACGCAGCCCAGTCTCCATTGAGAGCAACCAGTGGGGTCCCGTTTCTACTCTCATCTCTCTCTCAAGAATGACCAACCCCTCTCACTTCGTCTGTTCTGTACTCCCTCCCCAGTTCCTAGCACTCCCCACCCCGCTTGAGTCTTCCACGCAGAAAGGAAAAGCTCTTCTGAAGGCGGAGTCACACTCTAGCCCAGTGGGTGCAGGAGGCGATTACTTAGGTGAGGCAGTCGCACCTTACTACAGGAGGTTTAAGAGAAAAATCAACTTTTAGGCTCCGTTCCAGACCAACTGAATCTGAAGGTCTGGGCCTGGGGTTGAGCAAACCCATGTGAGAACCTAAATCACTAATCTAAAGCTTTTAGATCTAAATAAACTTTTATTTGGGAGTGATTTTTGATTTACAGAGAAGTTACAAAGAAAATACACACAGTTCCCATCTACTCTGCACGTATCTGTGAACACAGGTATGTTAACTAAAATCCAGACCAGATGCAGATTTCCAGCTCTTCCACTGAGTCCCTTCTACTAATTCCCCCACCCCCACTTTTTTGTTCCAAGATCTAGTCCAGGATATCAGTGCATTCCCTTTTAAATTCCATTGGTCCCCTTAGTCATCTTTCCCTGGGAGAGGATTGCTGGGGAGCTGGGGAAACTAAGGCTTGAAAACACCAAGTGGTTGAGTTCCCTTAGCATGGCAGAGAGAACAAGGTCTATCTCATTCGGCATGCGCCCTGTTCCCGGGCTCCAGGACTCTGTCTTCAGAAGCCCCTTCGGAATGTGCCATCTGGTCTGTTCCCATCCTACCAGGACAAAGCATAGGCCCAGCGCTGGCCGAGCTCGAAGTCCTGCCCACCCATCTCTGCCTTCCCTTTAGAGGGCTAGGACAATGTCTTAGTGGCTTCAGCCTGGACAGAACAAGACTCTGCAAGAGAGACACACACACACAGAGAAACCGAAACTAACACTGTTATTTGCTTATCCCAAACTATCTGTGACGGATGAAAAATGCCACAAATTCTTGGGCCGTTTCTCTAAGAGAAATAGTATGTTTCCCTACCTCTTGAATCTGGGTCAGCCTGATAACTGGCTGTGACCAAAAGAACTTAGCAGAAGTGATGGACCAATTCTGGATCTGGGACACAAAAAGCCTTGCAGTTTTTACTCTCACTGTCTTAGAAGCTTATGAATAACCTGCTCAGGAGTGTTCGCCTGCTGGGGAGCTTTGGAGGCCCAGCCAACAGCCAGTCAACAGCCAGATGAGTAAGACAACCCTAAACTACCCAGCCCCACCTGAGGTGACTGCTGTTGGCTTGCAGCCCTGTGAGTCACCCTAGGTGAGGTCAGTAGAACTGTCTAGATGAGCCCAGCCCAACAGCCAATTCACAAAATTATGGCAAATAATGACTTGCTTTTCATTGCTAACTTTGGGGATGGGTTGTTACATGGCAAGGCCTAACTGATACACCATTCTTCACTTCTCTCTTGATGGTAAGAATATTTTTTGAGGAGGCAATGTTCTTGTCCCAGGAAACGGGATATGAGTGGTCTACTCAATTGGGACAAATCTCTCCCTTGCTATCTTAGTTTTTGCAGCTAAGGGTGGCAACAGTAGCTGGTTTGGGTGAAGGAAATATACAGGAGGAGAGAGCTGAAAACAGCCCCCTGGGGGAAAAAAAGGTTTGATTTTATGATAGAAGTTGACAGGTCGAGTTGACTGAGCCTCTCCCCTACTCTTCCTTGAACACAGATGTGATTTTTGGAGGTACAGCAGCTATTTTGTCACCAGGAAGGAACAGGGAATGCAGGAAAAGTCAGAGACATCACAAAGATGTGACTTCTTAGACCAACACCATTCACCACCTAGCCCCAGAATTCATGTTCTGCAGAAAAGCAAACTTCTCTTTATGTCCCTGTAACTTAGGTTTTCTTTGACTTGCAGGTGTGCTTATTGCACATAACAGGCTATGTCAAGACAAAACACAGAGATCCTTGGCCTTGGGAATTTGGAGCCAGCAGCCTGCAGCTTTCCAAACCCATCTCCTTGTTCATTTCATTCTCTCGAGGTCCTTTGAGAAGGGGGCCACCACCCCATTTTCACAGAGGTGGGAACTGGCACTCTCATGTTGTTCAGTGGTGATTCCTTCTAAGAGGATGCTCAGAGTCACCCCCCTTCCAGGAAGAAGAAAATGCACCCCTGCTACACCGTCTGTATGGTCCAGCCCACTGAAGGCCATGAGTGTCCTCTGGGCTACTGGGAGTGGTGACAGGTGCCAAGGACACTGCTATTGCAAGTTCGGTGTGGAAGCACCCAGGTATACCCTTAGGTCCGAGAGGGTGGACTGGACAAGCTTGGCAGGGATGGTTTCTCGCTGCAGCTGCTGGTAGGCTGCATAGCGGTGGCAGCCTCCAAACGAGTAGAAGTAGTCACCCCCTTGAGCTCCTTTGATCCAGAGGACATCGATGGGGGGCACACTGTCTGGGTCCTCCTGGAGAGAGGGGGATACAGGGTGCATGAGCATGGCACAAGGCTGGGCAGTTTGCAAAGCATCTCAGTTCCTCTGGGCTGAGCTCCTACAGGGTGTTCACTCTGGCCTATGTTGAGACAATTGGTAAATATTCTGGAGCTGGTTAGCATCACCCTGGCAACTTGAAGTCATCCATGTTGAGACTATGTACAGGAAATGGGCAGTTGCAGCTAAGTGGGGCTCCCCTCCCCTCCCCCTGCAGAGCCCAGGTAACTAAATGCTGATCAACACAGTACATGCATACTAGGGAGCTGGCTCTGTTCCAGATATTGAGAGTAGGTCACAGTCTGAAGGAGACACAGCCCCTGCCTGCCTGGGGCTTCCATCTGGTGGGGCGGATGGAATGAGAAGTGCAGGTTCATAAATGCTATGAGGAAAGGGGTGCAGGGCCCCCCACTGGGGAGACAGACAGGTGGAGTGGTTCAGGGCTGTGCTCAAGACTGCCTGGCTCGAGTCTCCCATCTGTCCTCTGTGCCAGTCGGCAAGGGCGATCTCTTTGTGCCTCAGTTGTCCCATTACCAAATGGGGATGGGAAAAGCAGCCCCACCTCATAGAGCTGTTGGATACCAGGACTTCACACAGAGAAAGCAAGGATAAATATGCTGTGTATGGCCTGAGGGGAAAGCGTTGGGGGGGGTCTGCTAGTGCAAAGGGCCTGAGGCCAGAACAGGTTCACTAGACCACAGACAGGAGGAGAGGCCCAGTGAGACCAGAGCGGACTCAAGGGGTGGAGGAACAGAAGAGGGCTGAGAGGGAGCCTGGCCCTTCTGTTTGTTTCTAAGAGCAGTGGGTCAGCCCTGGAGCGTTTTAAACAAGGGGTGACACGACCTGTCAAACATTCTAGAAGGTTGTCGTAGGTGATCTGGCTTTGTGGGTAGAAAGGCAAAGACAGGGACTACCCCTCTGCTGATATTCAGAGGAAGGCACTGGCCTGGTGTGGGTGTCGAGGGAACAGGGAGGAGCAGACAGATGTGGATGCCTTTGAGGGGGCAGCTCTGAGGGCACTGGTGAAAGGAATGAATGTGAGAAGAGAAGAATCTTAAGACAACTTCTTGTCAGGGGCCTGAGTAGCCAGATGGAGAATAGGCAGCCCCCGAGGCATCCTGGGCAGAGACCATCCTGGGAGACTCCTTCCAATCGGCTCCATCAACCACCTCCTGCCTCTGGCCTAGAGGTTCTCTCTCATTAGGCTGTTTTGGTGGCGTCTTTTATCCATTTAACTGGAAATGATTATTAAGCAGTGAGGTCCAGCAGTTAGGAGCCGGGATTCTGGAAACTGGCAGACTTGAATAGAATCTCAGATTCTATTCTCGCCTTTCCTCATCTGTAAAAATGGGACTAAGAGGCCCTCCCTGGTGGCGCAGCGGGTTAAAGCACAGCACTGAGAAGCTAAAGCCACTTCCGCGTGAGTTCGATTCCCGCCTGCCCCAGAGGTGACCACATGGTGTGGCAGACCTCTCCTGACCCGCCCGCTGCTCCCCTCAGCAGTGTACTTCGTCGATCTGCCTGTTCTGCTCCCCGCTCTGTCTCTGGTGAAGCCTCTCGCCGCCCCTGAGCCTCTGGCCTGTACTCCAGTTCTGTATGCACAAATAAATAAAAATTAAAAAAAAAATGGGACTAAGACACCCAGTAGGACTGTTGATGAACAGTCAAGGGGCCGACACGTGGGAGGCCAGGCTACCGGGGAGTGGCACACAGAGGCGCCCGGGGCGCCTGTGCCAGGCAGGACCCTTGTGCTGGGTGCTGGGGGCATGATGGTGAGAGGGCAGAATAACAGCCCCCAAAGATGTCTCTCTACTAATCCCTGGAGCCTATGTTACCTTCCACAGCACCGGGACTATGCAGATGGAATGAAGGAGCTTAAGGTGAGGCGGTTCCCTGGTTGATTCAGATGGGTTAAATATAATCAATCCCCAGAGTCTTAGAAGTGGGGAGAGAGACAGAAGAGGAGGTGTGATGCTGCTGGCTTTGAAGATGGAGGAAAGAGGCCAGGAGCTGAGGGGTGTGGGTGGGCTCCAGTTGCTGGGAGAGGCAAGCAAAGGAATTTTTCCCCAGCGCATCCAGAGGAGAATGCAGTGCTGCCAGCACCTTGACTTTAACTCTGGGCTTCTGAGCCACAGAATAATAAAGTAATAAGCTGAGCCACAGAATAATAAAGTAATAAGTCTATGTTGTTCTAAGCAACTAAGTGTCTGATCATAGAAAACTAAATACACAGGGTCAGCAAAGACAGGCCTGGTTCTTGCCCTTGAGGAGCATATGCTTCTAGTTTGGAAGACAGGTGTCTAAATAGGCCTGAAAAGCAGGTGAGGTCGGAGCTATGCCAGTGGGCAGGCGGCTGGGCACGGACCCACAGGACCCTAACCCCGAGGGGCTGTCAGTGAAGACCATGACACTGAGCCCAGAGACAGAGAGGGAGCTGGAAACAATAGAGAGGAGGAAGAGTTTTCCTGGCAGGGGAAAAAGCCTGTGGCCAGGCAGGAGCGAGCATGCATGGTTACCTCCCCAGACAGAGTCAGGTTAGGACTAAGTCCTGGCTCTTGTGCAGTTCACAATGGGCTGGGGAAGGCAGCCAGTGCAACCTCAAAGCGAAATGTACACTATAAATCAAGGAGACAGAGCGCTTAATGGAGAAAAACCTCAGGCTCTCTGAGTATGGGCAGGCCGGGGGTGGGTGGCCTGGACCACGCCAGGGCACAGGCCTGGGGCCATCTGGTTAAGTGCTTCCATGCAGTGGGAACAGCAGAGTGCATTCTAGAACTGGGGCAGCTCCAGGAGCAGCGAGGGGGTGTTTGGTGAGCTTCCGGGTGTAGGTGTCGCCTTCCTAAGGTCTGGGGAAGGGAATGTGATTTTCTCCCTAACCTGACACATATGTCCCCCTCCCCTCTGAGTTCCTGCCAGGATCACCCCAGCATTCTCCTCTCAGTAGGAGGGTGACACCTGTTCTCTTCCAGTTCAGATTCAAACACGGCTCTCTCCAGCCATCAAGACAACACCCAGCCTCAGCAACTGCTGTGACAATCAGAAGTATCGGCTCAGCTAATCTTGGGGTGGTATGATGGAGGTGCAGCTGGCTAAAGGGGAGTAACTCTCTCAGTGCCTGACCTTGGACAAATTGCTTACTTCCTCCTGTGCTTCGGTCTCCTCATCTGTTAACAAGGAGCAACAGCAGATTTTTGCTCATAAGGTTGGCATGAAGAAGCTGAAGCACTTTAAACTGCCTTTGGGCCACTCCTTAAAAGAATTAGAGATGGTGATTTGAATGGTCTCATTCAATCCCTTCTTGCTCACGAAGGCAACCGAGCCCAGAGAGGCCCAGGCATTTGCTCAAGGTCACACAGCAAACTGAATTCTGGCTAAGCCTGAAGCTCTCCAATCTCGCGTCCAGAGCGACCCCGTCCCCAGCCCACCCCGCGCTCTCCCTCCTGCCGGCCTCCCCGGGGTCTCACCCGGATGGTCTCCACAAGGCTCTGCACTTTGGCCGGGTCCAGCACGGACGGTAACGGCCGGATGAGAACTCTCAGCGGCACGTTGTGCACCGCGGCGATGCAGCCCGAGTGGATGCTGCCGCCCGGCGCGCCGCCGCTGGGCCCGGGTCCCTCGGGCGCCCCGCGCCCCGCTCCCGCTCCGCCCAGCCTTCCTCCCGCGCGCAGCCCCATCGCCAGGCTCAGTCGCCGCGGGGTGCGTCGCCTCCCTCGGGCTTTTACCCCGGCCGGGCCGTACCACTTTGCAGGGACGGGCGGGGGCCCCCGGGCCGGTGCCGAGCGCGTTTCTACCCCCGCCCCGCAAGTGGTCCCGCCCCACCCCAGAACTCCGCACCCCGACTTCTGCTCCACTAGCTGGGAGCTGGCGGACGGGTGCGGGGCTCAACTCTCCGCCGGGGGGCGCCGTGCCGCCTCCCCTCCGCCGGCGCCATCCCAGGAGTGGAAGCGCCGGGGCGGGCTGACTCAGGGTGAGTTTGCAGGTCGTGGGGCGGGAGGGCCGCGTGTGACGCACAGTCCGGGGTGACTCAGGCCCGCGGGAGGCGGGGACCGGGACCGGGACGAGGCGGGGGGTGGCCAATCCTGCCGAGCCAGGATGAGTCGGCAAAAACTCAAAGTACTGGGCCACGACAGGAGCTGATACCTGCACCAGCTAATAGCTACGAACTTGGTGGAGGCGATGCTGATACCTGCACCAGCTAATAGCTACTAACCTGCACTGTTCGAAACACTGCTTATGTACTGACTCATTTACACCTCGAGACAACCGCACAAGGGGGGTGTGATGGTTATGTCCAGACTGAGGCACGGCGAGGTTCACGTGAAGTGTCCAAGGTGCCTAGCTAATAAGTAAATGAATAGGGCCTCAAATCCAGGCAGCCCCTTTCCAGCCCCTTTCTCTGCTTCTGGGTTCAACGAAAGCAATAGTCACAAGGAGCCCTCCTGGATTTGGGCTGAAAACGCGTGGGCACAGCCCTAAAGTCCCACACTGTCTCCACAGCCTCAGTGGGGCTGGGGGTGGGGTGGAGGTGGGGTAGTAAGTGTGTCCAGGGTAGGGCAGCTGAAAATGAAAGGCAAATATCTGAGCCCAGAGTCCAAAGGCTGTAGTCAGCACCTGCTTTCAGGTGTAGACACCAAGACTACAGAGCCAAACTCTCTTTTGAAGTTCTCTGTCCCCTCCAGCTCAAATTCAGCAGTCTATCCTCAGGGACCAGAGAGCAAAAGGCAAGGCTACTGGTTTTAATTGGCACCAATGGCAACATTAGGGTTCTTGACACAGATTGGCCTGTGTTGAGATCCTGTCTGACCATTCCTTTGCTGTGTGGTTTCAGTCAAGTTGCTTAACCTCTCTGAGCCTTAGCCTTCTGTAAAACAGTTGTGGGATGATTGTGGGGAGGACAGGAGATAATTGCTCACTGAGGATGGGAGGGGGCTGGTGATAAATCAGTGATAACCAAGGGTGGTGATTGCTTTTACCCTGAGTGCGAAAGGAGAGGCTGGATTTGACCAAGAGCATCAGGAAAGGCTCTGGGGAGGAGAAGCATCAAAGTGGAAAATGGCTTGGTCTTGGAGAGGGAGAGCAAAGAAGGAGGCAAATATTGAGGCCTGTATGCTCTGGAACCAACGGAATGGCGTGGATTTGAATCCTGATGCCACCACCCATTCCTGGCAAGGTGATGTTGGGGGGGGGTGTTGAGGGGGTGTTCTCAACTTCTCTGTGCCTCTGTTTCCCCCCTGGATTGCCAAGGAGAGTGTAAGAATAACATAAGTGTTAAGAAAGGTACCTAGCACAAAGAAAGTGCTGATATGAAGGACACCCCCCCCCCCAGGAGCAGCTTGGGCAATACAGGGAGGTGGGACCGTTTAGACTAGCCGAAGGCGGGCATGTCTGGTTCGCTAGTCCTCTGCCTCGCCCTAGTTGGCACATGTGTGGGAAATGCACACTGCCAGCCAGCACACCTATATGTGACTCTCCGTGTGGCTTGGGCTTCCTCATAGCATGGCACCTGGCTGCTACGGGCAGATTGCCCAAGAGAATCAAGCAGAAACTCTGTGACCGTTTCCAATCTAGGCTTGGAAGTCATATAGCATTCTATTTCCAGGATCTCTCCCACACCCCCAGGCTTGAGGAATGGGTCAGAGAGTTTGTTTCTAGATGGCAGGAGTAACAAGGTTCTGGAAGAGTGTTTGGGATGGGAGGTATTAAGACCATCTTTGGAAGACACATCTACTGAAGGGGGTGATCCCAGCAACTGGGGAGAGGAGACACTGCGCTGAAGGGCTCGCTAATGTGCGGCTCTCTTGGAGGGCACCTGGGGAGCATCTCTGCTGGGGAGCACTCCTGCTGGGGAGCACTCCTGCTGGGGACTCTGAGAAGCACTATGCATCCTGCATCAGCACTGCCCTCGGAGGGAGGCAGGGCCTGCATATTTATTCACTGGCCTAAGGATGTTAAATATCTGCCATTTTTGGTCTGTTCTGCCCTCAAACCAAGCAAGCATCTGAGGACCCAGAGCATGAAGCTGTCTGCTTGGGGTGGCCCAAGGGAATAAGGACATCAATAAATCCCTTTTCTGTCCAAACCAGCTGGAGTCCACGTTTCTTGTCTGCATTCAAAGGCCCCTGCTCCCTGCTCTCTTCGTCCTGCTCCTGGGCTCCCTATTATCCGTCAGTAGGCAGGCCCACATGCGGTACTCACCCTTTTGCTTTCATTTTTGACAAGTAATCTCATAATGCAGCACTCGGTGTGCAAAGAACCTTCTTGAATGGGAAGATGAAAGGATTTCTGTGCCACAAAAGGAACGTTGGCTCTTACATTCCCCTGCCTCTAAAATACTCTCGTCTATTTCTAAGCTTGGCTCATAGGCTCCTGCCATGTTGCGTGATCTCTGATTCTCTCTGTTTTCTTCTCCATCTCCTCTAAGTTCCCATTCTCATTTTAGGTGGATCATTTTGACCTCTTCTGTAGCGTTGGCACCTGCTGAGCATCTTCTTGGGGCCCTGAGGCAGCTGTGCACTTAAACTGTTATTCCTCATGGTCACAAGATGACTGCAAGTGCCCAGTAGGCCTACTTCCTTCTTTGCTCACGTTTCAGTTAGCTCAGACTGCTACAACAAAATGCCATAACCTGGATGACATTAAGACAAACATTTCTCACAGTCTTGGAGCCTGGGATTCCCAGGTCTATTCCATCATTTTAGAATAAGGGTTTTATTTTCAGGTCATCTCCTGGCTCAGGGTTGCTGCTGGAAGAAGGGGGAGAAATGGAAAGTCAAAAGGATGTGACCTTTCCTTGTTTGGGTGCTGACTTAACAGTTCCATAGTACACCTTGCCTGGTGTCATTGACCAGAGTGGGTCACCTGCCGCTCTGACATTAGGGTAGCTAGGATATGTCGTCTTCATTCAATATGGCAGTGTGCTCTGCTAAAATTGGAGTTCTCTTGCCAAGGAAGGAGAGACTGGAAATTGATAAGTAACTAGCACTCTGAGTCACAGCTCTCAAGTTACAGGTTTTATGACTCAGAGAGAAGGAGAGAGGAAATTTCCAAGTTCTGGTCAGATGCCCACATATGAGCCAATCAGCTATGGCCATGAGGAACAGTCTTTTTAAAAAGCGTAAGTCATCATTATTGATTATGACTTAAGTGTGTGTAGTTCATTAAAAAATAATTACTGGTCAACTGCTATTGGCTAGGTACTGTGCTAGACTCAGGGGATTTCATGATGAACCAAAAGACACTTCAGTCTTGATCTGTGTCCTAAAATAGACTATACAAGCTTCATGAGACAATGACCAAATAATGACACTGATTAATGGAAAAATGTAAGTGCTGTGAAAGAACAGCCTGTGGCCCCTGAGGAAGTGACCTTCCCGCTGAGAGAAGAAGCACGCATTAAGCACTAAGGCATGGTGGTGATGGCAGCACAGATCTACTATGTTGCTGGTGGAGTGAAGAGCTTATGCAAAGCCCTGTGTTGGTGGTGGAGGATTACGGAGAGATAGCTGGGAGCAGTGCAATGGAGGGTGTGGCGGAAGGTTCACCTGGAATGATAGAGCCAGCCCAGGTAGGGTTTCAAAAGTCACCCCAGGCAGCTCTCTCTCCCCACAAAATTGGTGGGAAGTTATTGAGTATTTTAAGAAGAAGAGGGGGAAGGGGGTGACGTGATTAGACCTATGTATATGAAAAGATACTTCTGGCTGCACTGCAGAGAGGAAGTGAGCAGGGGGAAGCATAATGGATCTAGCGAGATCACTTGGAAGCTTGGTCCATTTGTGTAGGTAAGAGATGGTAGGAGCTGTGGCCTAGAATGAAGACTGAGAAGATGGACAGAAAAACATCAGCAGAACCTGGTGATGGAGTGGTGGTGGGAAGCATGACTTCTGGATGTTGTGGCTGTGAGACTGGATGGGCACTTTGCCATTCCAGACAAGGTTCAAATTCTGCTTTCATTCTTAGGCTCATCTGTGGTCTTTGGAGATGTCCAAGTGGGGATGACCTGTGGGCAGATGCGAATTTGCAGATTAAAGAGAAGATTGGAGTTGAAAATGTAAATTTGTCAGTCATCTGCACGTGGGTGGAAATTGAAGCCATGGGTGTAATGAAATGTTTTTTATGAGGAGCAGTCAGACAGGTATGAGGAGAACCAGAGGTTGTGTCTGGAGGTCTTCCATTTAGAGATTGGTGAAAAACAAACTGGATAGATATACTAATTGAGGTGCTCTGTATTGCAGATGCCAGAGACCTGAGTTAACTGCCTTACCAAATCAAGACACTCCTGCCACATGCCATGAGGTCCAGAGGCAGCACAATTGCTTTGGGCAATTTGCTGTGGCTCCAGATGTGATCAGGAACATGTGTTTTCTCATCTCTCTCCTCTGCCCTCCAGGGAATGGATTTCATGCCAAGACTAGTTGTTTTTATGGCCCTAAAATGACATGCTTCCATCTTCACATTCAGGGAGAAGAGAAACTATCTTTCCCCTTAAAGAGAGAAGCAAAGTTTCCTAGAAGTTTCTAGAAACCTCTCAAGTCTCACTAGCTAGAATTGCGTCATATGCCTATCTTGCTACTCACTAGGCCAGTCAAGACCACCCCTAACTTAATTCTTAGTCTGCAAATTGCATGGCTGCCAATCAAGGAGGGAGGACTGGGGAGAGGATGACAGGCCACCATAACCAGGCTGGCCAGAGAGCTGGCGGACACTCAGTGTCCATTCCCGCTTCCCTCTAGAGAGCCTTTTGTATTGGAATCTGGGGAGTTAAAAAGACACTTTTCAGATTTCTTCCAGTAAGGATAAGGCTTTGTCCATTAGCTGAATGTCCATGGGATTTGGATGGCAGAGCAGCAGGGTCATCTGACTGCCTTGTGTCTTGCTACTGGCAAGACGGTCATGGAAGTACTAAGTTCTTCTCTAACAGTATTTCAGCACTCAGTCATCAGTGTTGGGGGAGTCAGGAGGCAGAGGCAGGTGCCTCCTGACCAGGCTGCTACTTAGAATGCTGTGTTCTTGAACTCAGGGGTCCCAGTGCTTCCTGACTCTCCTCCTCTCCCATACATCTGGTTGTGGAAATGCCAGCAAATCCCTTGGTGGGTCAGTTCTGGGGTGATGCTCTGGGAAGTCTAGTGGAGGGCTCACCCTTTCAACCCTTCCAACAATTTTGTGAGCAGTCAGTTTTCTGTGTTAAATGCAATCTGCTTCAAAGGTATTTAATGCCAATCTGGAGTGTGTTCTATTGCCTGAAACCATGTAATTGGTGAAGCGGCAGGTCAGGAGCATTGAGAATGGTATGTAGATTCTAGGAAGGCATTAGGGGCTCCTCAAAACCCCATTGGAGACTTAGTGGAAGTTCCCACACTGTTGTCATGTGTAGAGACACTTAACACTTGCACTCAGGATGCAGCTGCTTGTCCAGAGGTGGGCAAAGGGAAAATGGACAGGTACCAGGATGGGGGTCTAAAAGAAGACTGCTCGACCTCCAAAAGGAGGAAGCTTGAAAGGAGCCCCCAAGGAAGACAGGCTTCCAGCCTACAGCTTCTGCCCCGGGCAGCCAGTGCTCAAAGCATGTGGGCCGGCCTCTGTGGGAGTCTGTGTTGGGGGTTGGAGATACACGGGGCGTTGGTGATGCCCAGCGAAAATTTTTAGTAAGGCAAGCATAGATTTGAATTTTGAAAGATCACCAAGGCAGCTAGCTGGCAACAGGGATGAGATTGGTTGTCCAACGTCTTCCTGAACACTTTAGGTGAGACGCATGAGTTCCAGTGTCGTTTGGGGATGACATTGCCTGCTGTCCCAAAGTCAGTTTTGTATAGATTTTCTTGCTACATGGATGGCTAATAGGGGTGGCCAGAAACCCAGTCACAAAAGTAGGGGACATAACAGGGAAGAATGTCAAGCTGTGAACAGGCTGTGAAGGGACATTGGTTCACAGTTGTATTTGTTTGGCAGATGAAGTTCATTTGAATCGCATGTTTATAGTGATACAGTCTTTCCTGTTTGCCACAGGCGCCACCAGTCTCTAATGTCTGAAGCAAACTGCTTGACTCACTTACGTTATTAATATGGTTCTCAAACCCTTGGATTTTGCAGCCCCAGTATTTAAGGAAAAATTAGGACTGAGGATGCCTGATATCCAAAGGGACTTTATGGATGTCAAGGGGTCCCCAGACTGTGTGACCTCTGGAGGCAGCTACAGTTTGGTCAGGCTACAAGGAAGGAAATGGAATGCAGAAATCCCACTGCCTCTCAGAAACTATTCTCCTTCCCTCCCACCGCCAATCATAGGGTCTAGAAGCTCTGGTGAGTGGCCAAAGTCCCTTTAATATCCCTGAATTGCTTACAAGTAATACTGCTGGAGGTGAGGAAGGGATAGGGTCTGGGGCTGGAGTTGGGGGAGGTGGAAGAAGGGGAGCGCCAAGCGCTCATACAAAATATGGCCAAAAGGCTTAGCATGCATGGAAAATTATTGCTGTCGGAAGTTCCTATTTACAGGGTCAACACCCTCCGTAATTGCTTCTGCGGCCCCTCTCCCTCCCCCTATCCCTGTGCCTCCCTCCCCTGGTGAGCCTGGAGCTGAGAGAAGCCCTAGAGACTGCTCTTGCTCCTGGTGCCCCCCCAGTCTCCACCCTCCTTTGTAAATAGGGGGAGAGTGGGAGCATTGGAGGTGTCCGGGACTCCTGTCCTGGAGAGCTGGGTGCCAAGCGATGGGGCAGAGGCATGTGCTTAAAGCAGAGGGGGCCAGGGCCAGTGAGCGAGCTCGGAGGTGTGTGCTTCAGTCCTCGCCCAGCATGCAAAAGCACAGCGGGGGAGGTAGTGGCAGCCAACAAGAGCGAGGCTGGCAGCCCTGGCCCCTCTGCCCAGGAGAGTTGCATAGACATGGCCGGGAGGCTGCGTGCCTCCCGGGGAGCCGAGTGGGCCGGAGGCCCCAGTGGGGTCCGGGGCTCAGTCGGTCCCTGGAACCTGGGGTCCCTCAGAAAGAGGAATAAATAAGAAACAAATCGAGGAGGCTCCTCTTTCTGGTCTCCCTGGAGAGGGAGTGGAAGGCTCAGGAGAGCGGGGACCTGCCCCAAGACTGCACCTCCTGGCAACCCCTCCCATCCCCCAGTTGAGGGTCATTCGTTGGCCCTCCCATCATTCTCCAATCCCCTTCCCCAGCAAGTTCTGGCTCTAATGAGGGTGGAGCGTCCCCCTCACTTCAGGAGAACAGGTGTGAGGTGGGGCATGGGGGACAGTCCTATATGGCCTTTGCTGTCCCTCTCCTTGCCTGGCTCCCTGACCTCCCAGTCCAGCTGGGGAAGTCAGACCATCCCTGGGTGAGGCCAAGAGATTAAATAGAATAATAAATAAATAAATAAATACACAAATAAATTAACTGGAGAGGCCCAGCTGGTTGGGGTAGGCATTTGTGAGGTGCCTCAGACCTCTCCCCAACAAATAGGAAGGGATACCTGTAGTCCTGGGGTAGGGGAAAGTGCTCAGAGAATCTGGGGAGAGGGCAGCTTGAGGCTGGAAGCCCAGGGAGGGGCTGTTCTGGGGTAAGAGAGGGGCTACCTATGGAGCAGGGCCCTAAATGCCTCTCAAGTGTACCCCAGGTCAGGGGATCGGGAAGGGTTTGAGCTGCTTGGAAGGAGAGGGGGTCAGGGTATAGTAGGCAGTGGGGATGGGTGTGAATGAGAAGGCCCCGAGGGTCTCAGAGTTTGGGAAATTTGGTGAGGATAAGTGTGGGGGCGTGGAAGGAGTGTTAATGGCTGGACCTAAGGCCGCGTTATGGAGAGTCAGGGACGGACTGGGGACTCCAAGAAGGGTGGATGCTAAATCCCTAGATGGGTACACATACGGGACTCAGCAGAGGTCAGGAGGGGTAATCTGGAATGTGGTGTGGGGCCCACAGGACCTGTGTGCTAGTGGGCATGAGGAAATCAGGGCAGGCCTGCCTGAGAGTCAAGAGTCGGGGACTAACTAGGGGAATGGCCAGAGACTCAGCTAAGTGACAGGAAAGCTCTGAGAGCTAGAGGGTAGAGGTGAAGGGTCTGGGCAGGAGAGCGTTTCAGCCCTGGGGCCTGGGAGAGGTGTGGACCCGGTGCCTGAGTTGGGAGCCTTGAGGGCATGGGCAGGAGGTCAAGATCCTCGACCATGTGGCTAGGAGAGCAGAGCGCTGGAAAGACAATGTGGGGTGGGGTTTGGGGGTTGGAAAGAAAAGTTCCGGGGGTGGGG